CTGTCACGTGACTCTGTTATGACATTATTTACTGTCTTTACATTTATTTTGAAAGATGAAGCTCGCGTTTATGGTAAGGGGCGTTACATTTCCGACACGTGCTTGTGGTGTTCGGCCAATCACAATGCACTGGGTCAACTGGCCAATCAGAGCAGACTGTGCTTGTCAAAGGAGGGGGCTTTGTTGAAAACGACGTGTTTGAGAGAGGTGGGGCATAGAGGACCTACAATAATGTACAGTATTTGAAAAATAATGTGTTTTTTGAACATTAAAGCATGTCAACATATTCTGTTACACCAAATACACAAAATAATGATCTTTAAAATAGCATCATATGACCCCTTTAAGGAAGCTCTACTCAGCCCAGGCTGACCATCTTCCTCTTTTATGTATGTTTTATGATGAGTTCATTTGTTAAAATGAAGGACAGAGAAAGATAAATGTCTAGACAAACAATCCTAAACATGAATATGAAATGTCAACTGAATTTTTAAGATAAGATGTCTCATATTTTTTAATCTCTGAGGACACCAGACCCTGTTTTGGGATCGCCTATTCTGATAATTGGCCACTCTGTTGACATGCAAAGCAGGAAATAATGAGAGAGCACTTCCTCTTTCTAATCTACACGAGGCATGAGTAAAGGTTGCCACAGGAACACAAACATGTGTTGGAAGTAAGCAACAGAAAATGTATTAAAAACCGGTTAGTGTGTTAGTGTGTGCACCTGTAGCAGTCTACAACCTGCAGGATATTGCTATCAAATTAGCAAATCTAAATTAACCTAGTATGTTCAAAACCAGACCTTCCGGGATGTTTCTGCATTGTTTGGTACGTGTGTGTGTGCGATCATCATGCAGATTTGGGATGTCGCAATAGTTCATGCTAAATCGGAGAACAAACAATGTGGTCTGTGTAGATAAAGTGACAGTTTTTACTCAACTTGAGTATGACTCTGTATATTACAAACCACAGAGGCACAAACTAGGAACAGTTAACATTCCCAAGTCTGCGTTTATAAAATTAATGTCAGGCTAATGAAATTTATTTGAGCATGCAAAACGAAAACAACCTCTGTGGTCATAGTTCACTTGAAAGTTGACATTGAATCAAACTTTCTATACAAAAGCACGAGCGCTATGTGCCCTGAACACATTGTTGTCTGGGTTCAGCGAGCTTGTCTAAAGTTTGGTGTCATCTCCCGTCAAGGAAATGGGCTGAGATTGGCATGACTTAACGTCGGTGCTCTAGTTCGAATAGTCCCAGCTCCAGATTTAGTTCAGCCTGCTGTGGCCCGATGGCCTGGATACAGCTGGCCTATGGGGAACCATGACTGATTAGTTGACATTGACATTCTTCGCAAACACTTTCACACAAAAGCAAATTACAATACAGGACAGTAGCAGCCAACTGACCAATGTCGACATAAATACTCGGGAGACTGGGGCTAGTTGTCAGAGAGTGTATGTCAACTATAAGGTTTGGTTCAATTACAGAGAGACACAATGTACATTTCTGGAAACATTAAATATATATATATATATATATATATATTAAGCCTGTTAGGCTGTTTAATGGCAGGTTCCATGTGACAACTTACCCCACATAGTGTGACAACATGTCTCTGCTCTAGCTGGTGGATTTCGCAAATAACACCAGAGAGTGCTTGTTAATGTGCCAAGTGGGCATTTTTAATGGCCAAAAATTGACAAAGATTGGCAGATTATATCAGTTTATCTCTGCAGGGCAGGGTGAATACTAGGACAAGCAAACCAGGCCTTGGTCACTGCTCCTGGTTACATTTAAAATGCCCAAACTGATGTTGACATCAGTTTGACCTTTGACATCACCACTTAGAAGAAGATGTGGTGAGATGGTGTGCGTGTATGTGTGAGCCAAAACACATCTCACTGTTTAAAAAATCTTGCCTTCGGACCTAAACCTGGAATTGATGCTTTAACTGAGTGCTATTTCTATGGCAACCTCTCTTTTGGCTCTCCTTCTCTTGAATCTTTCTCTATGCACGCACACACACACAGTCTGTTGTTCAACATTCCCACTCAGTAACACCCACACAACTCAAACTCATACTGAAGCTAATAATTGGACAAAAAAGGTGCACATTCAGTGCCAAAAGCAAGCATACAACCACTTACTCAAGGTGTCTTTACACACCAGAGTTAAGGTTGCTCTGAGCAGGCTCTGTGCTGGCTTCAAATTGTGTGTAAAGATGAAATGCTACATAAAAGCTGTCATAAAGTCTGCAGTTCTAACCCACCTCAACTTCGAGTATCAGAAGTGGATCTGATGCGGCTTTGCTTCTGTGCAAATGCAGCATCTAAGCAGACTTAAAGGGGTCATATG